TGAACCAACAAATCTAACAAATATTAAAATTCATTTTCTTCCTCCAAACACTACAGCATTTTTACAACCATGTGATGCGGGTATAATCAATAGCTTCAAGGTAAAACAATTATAAATTTATTTTTTTTTAAAAATATTTTTTTAAATATAATTTTCTATTTATAGGCAAATTACAAGAAACTTTTTTTGAAAAAGAAATTGAAAAATTATGAATTACAAAATGAAGGCAAAGAAATTGTTCCAATTACAATAAAACATGCAATTAAGTATACTGCAAAAGCTTGGGAGAATGTCACCAATCAAACAATAATTAATTGCTGGAAAAAAACAGCAATTTTACCCAGTGTAGATGAAAACTCTACTGAAGTTACATCTTTCCTAGATTCTTCAAGAAATGACAATGAAAATGAATTGCAAAATTTAATTAATGAACTTAATCTTACAAATCCTTTATCTGGATTAGAATATCTTTCCATTGATGAAACAGAAAAAAATGATGATGATGATGATTTGCTGAATGAAGAAGTAATAATTTCTATGTTGAATTTTAATGAAGAAAATCAGGATGAAGAAGACATTGAAGAGACACCTATTTCAAGTCAAGATGCTTTATTGGCTATTGAAAAAGTAAACTTGTTTGTTGAACAACAGTTTAAGGAATTTACAAATGAGGAATTGAAACTGTTAAAAAATGTCAAAAAGAAAATTAAAAAAATAGAATTCAATTCAACAAAACAATCTAAATTAGACTGTTTTTTTGAATAATAATTTTTATGTAATAGTAATAAAATTTTTTTATTCTGCATGACTTAATGTAGTACAATTGTCTATACCAGATTCTCTCTATAATAACGGATAAATTTCCTGGGCCCAATGATCCGTTATAGACAGTGTGGACTGTACAAGAAATTCAATGCATAAAGTGTGTGACAAAAAACTTTACTATTTATGGACTAAATTAGGCAATAAGTAAACATCGCCAATTTCCTTGTTAAAGTGCAAATAGCAACTTTATTACTACACCTGTTAAATAATAAAATTATAAGTAAACTTTTGAAAATTCACTGTTGAGAATGTCACCAACTGTTCACAAATGTAAGATGCATAGTCTATTACATTATTGGAACAAAGGCATCTGTTCTGTGCCTGAATTGACAACTGTACAATGCAATGTTGAAAAGCTCAAAAAAACTGGCACTTTGGAGCATAAAGGCAGCAATGTTCATCCAAAGAAAATAACAGCCAATGTAGCAAAAACTGTTGGCCAATATGTTTGTCAAGATATATCAGTGTCATTGCATTCTCTTGCCATTAAACTTGATAACAATGGTATTGATATATCTTATTGTACAATTGGCAGACATTTAAAGTCTCTAGGATATAAAAAAACCTTCCTTTAGCCACACCAATGTTAACAAAGACCCATAAGCAAAATCGCATTGAATGGGCCAAGCATCACCTTAATGACAACTGGAAAAAATCATTATTTACTGATGAGACAGCATTTTCAGTTGTTTTGAACTACAATTGAATGTTGGTATAAAGATAAGTGTTCAGTTTGTCATATGCCAAAAGAATGTAGAAAAATTTTTGCTTGGGGGGGTTTTTGCACAAAGAGGTTGATATTTTATGTCAAATACTTGAAAATCATCTTGGTGAAGTTGATAAAATGCTTGGTGCTTTCAACAAGATAATGATTCCAAGCATATAAGTCAAGTAGCTAAAACATTTCTTGCTGACAATGTGCCCAAGGTTATGGATTGGCCCTGACATTAACCCTATAGAAAACTTATGGGTCATCATTAAACAATGAATGCCCAAAATTTTAGATGGTTTTTGACAGAGGAATTGAATTCTATTCCAAATTCAGTTTTAAATAATTTAGTAAATTCAATGAAATGCCATTGTGAGTTGGTTATCAAAAGTAATGGTGAATGAATCAATTTTAAGTCTAATAAAGTTTGTTCTATAACTTTTTTGCTTGTAAATGGCATATTTATCATTGGGTTCGGTGTGACTTCTATGAATCATAAAGTTAAGTTTTTTTGTCACACACTGTATATCTTGGAATGGGGATCCAAGTTCAACTAAACTCTTGGAAAACAAAAAATGTAATTTATTATTATTTATTATTTATGTGTAAATCTATGGATAGGTAACTAACTAACTATTGATAGGTAATTGTATGCTATTCAATTCAATGAGCATCAATCAACCTTATGTAAGTCTCATGTGAAATTTATTCAGCCAATCCAAGGATCTACAACAAGACCATTCAAGACAGGTTGACCCAATTTACTAATTAAAATTGGGGTTACACTTAAGCACCCAACCACCCAGACACCCCCGTTAAAAGGCCGAGCCTCACGTTTTGAGAACATGGATCCTTTGGATTGGGTGATTATTATACTTTTGATGATCAACCATTGTGACCAATTCCAGATCCGATTTTTAGAATCGATTTCCAAATTTGGAAAGACCCTGACTGAATTAGCAGTAATGTATTTCGTTATATATAAATTACCATTGGGAGAATCTAAAAAAAAATTTTTTGACTGTGTATGGGGTTCTCTAGAAAAAACCAGTTCCGAGGTCCTCTGACATTATAATATATAAACTGTAATTGGTGATAAAAAACATTTGTGTAACATATTTTGCAGAATGTTACATATATCAATAATAACGTACTGCGCGCCGATTTGATGAACGCGATCCAGATGAATTAAAATTTCGTGTAATAAATATTGTTCCCTAATTATAATAATATTAAGAAAAAATTTTTTTTTTTAAGTTGTAATTGTTTACAAGAAGCTCCAGCTGAACTTCATTAAATTCCAATAAAATACAAGAATTTATAGATTCTATATTTCATCTAGAACTTGATCTAGACAAATTTCTAGACAAATTAATGTTATAATGAATGTCGCACCAACTTATTTGTATTAAAGAATAACGAGTGTTGCACTAAATATTATAATTAAATATAATAAAATTAGCATAATCATTTTTAACTTATTCATTAATTGTTGTATTAACACTTGTATGAAAAATAAAGAATAAAAATAATTTCTTCGTTACTTATAAAGTATACATTATATATATTTGTAAAGTCATATTTCAAATCAACTCTTTTGCTTCCTTATAAAATTTATGCAAAATATCATTATATTAATGAATTAACATTGGTTTTTTTTTTCTTGGAATTAAATTTGAACTATGGTATTTATTACTCCCAATTCATAAATTTTCATAAGGATATATTAGTCCTTTAATGGACGTGACAACAGCCATGGGCCATGAATCTGCTGGGAGAATCAAAGGTCTTAATCTCTAGACCCAGGAAAACGTTAGTATTTTACTTTCCATACATACATTAAAAACAATAATATAAGGACTTTTAAAATCTAGATTAGTCTACTTTTTTAAAACATTAATTATAAATATAGAGAAACCAATTTCAGCAAAGATTACACATAATCAATCTAAAGAATCGTTACTTTTGTATGGTTTTTATTTGTAACCATTCCACACTATGGTTTAAATATAGTTTTGTCTGCAAAAAAAAAACAGATCGAAACAAAGGTAAGTTATATCCGTAAACAAATAAAATAATTAAAATCTGGACTTTCTGGAAGTTCATATATTTCAATATTACAGCCAACAAATACCCAATACCTTTCCTTACAGTATTATAAATTTAAATACGCTAATTTTATTATTATTATATAAATATAGATATGTCCCAGCGTGGGAAAGTAATGTTAGTATTTAACACATGTTTGAATTTTTTAGCCAATAAAATAAAGTTTTTGTGACACATTTATCTTCAAAAAAAAATAAAAATTTATAATGGAAGAAAATTTAGTAGTAGTAGTTAATGAGGCATTTGAAAAAGGAGATTATGATACGGCATGGGAAGATTATACCAAAGGATTAATAATATATCCAACCGATCCAATTTTATGGTATAATCGATCGATGGTTAATTCATTAAAAGGGTTTCCCGAATTGACGATAATGGATGCTAAAAGATCATTGGAAATACTAGAAAGTCAGATAATACTGGCAACTTGCAATAATAATATTAATAATGGTAATATCAATAACAATGGCGATGGTGATAATAATGGTAATATTGATGGTAGTGGTTTTGATTTGATGACATCGATTAAATTATACTTTAAATGTTTAAATTTGATTGGATTGTCGATGGCGGAAATAGGAATTTACGAGAGGGCAGTAGAAACTTATGAGAGAGCAATAAACGAAGTAAAGAATTTCACAATGATAACGATGAATTTTGATTCTTTAATTAATAATTATGATAATGATAACGGTGATGGTGAAATGGAAACCTTGGGAATTAACAATCATGATAATAATATTATGAACAACAATAATAATATATTTGATTTGGAATATTTCCAAAGCAAGAAAAAAGAATATCAAAAGAAATTAAACGATCAATCTGAATCAATGAAACAAGCGTATCCAACACTGAGAGAATTTGTTGTCAAAAACTTAACATTCAAAACGATCTTCACATTCAATGGAAATTATCCTTGGGATGATAGAATTTATAATCATTCAGATAAATCAATAATTGAGTTGCTACAAAGTTACATTGGTGGTGGATTAACAAATGATAATATTATGATATCCCCAGTAAATTCTGCCATAGATAGAAATAGTAACAATGTTTGCAGTGACAATAGCGGCAGTGATATTGATGGTAGCAGTAGTCCAAGGGGAAGAAAAGTTCAACAACTAGGAATTGTGGCGAAGAGAAATATTTCCAAAGGATTGATTGTATTTCAAGAAGTTTCATTTATAAGTACTCATCGATTCGATTCATTGAAATGTGATTATTGTCATACACCTTTAAATAATGAATCAAAGTTAGCATGTGTAAATCAATTCTGTTCAGATTTTTTTTGTACTCTAAATTGTAACCAATTGGCATTACAACTTTATCATTCACCATTATGTGGTAACGGTTTATATTCTTCATTTAAAGCAAAAACGTACAATTTATTACAAATAGGTGCAATAAACAATAAAATTTATTTTGAATTAATGTTAACGTTGAAATTATTTAGTATTGCAAAAATTAGAAATATTTGTCCTTTAGATATTCATGAAATCAAATATCTGTCAAGGTTTAATCAACCAACAACAGCAACAACAACAAAATCAAAACATAAATTAATTGAGAAAAAAATCGAATTTCCAGAAAATTTGATTGATTTTTATCATGATATTATCAAATTATTGAATATTTCAATTTATAATTTACAATATGATTTTTGGATTTTCATAACAATTTGGAGTATCATAAAATCAAATGTCATTCAATTGAATTCTACATTTCAAAAAGAAGTTGTTGGATTATTTCCAATAGCTGGATTTATCAACCATACTTGTTCAAATCCAAACATAAGAGTTAGAAATTTTCCTTTGAGTTTAGCTAGTGACAATAATACTAGTAAACTGGGATATGGTATAATAATAGAAGCATGTAAAGATATTATGAAAGGTCAAGAAATTTTGATGAGTTATTGTGATTTGAGCAAAATTGAGAAATTACAAAAACAATCATTTTTATCAAAGTATTTTGGATTTGAATGCATGTGTTCTGAATGTTTATTCTTGATTAAATAAAATCATTATCATTACCATTACTGTTTGTTATTATAATAATTTTTCATATTTTTTTTTATTTGTATGAAATTCTTTTTTTGTTCTTTCAAATAATATAAATAAATTAGTTATTTGAAAAAATCACTTAAAACTTCAATGATTTAATAGATGCCCCGTTTGACGCTTTAATATCCACTATTATTATTAATTATAAAGGATATAAAGTAACACTGGGGCAATATATAGATAGATAATATAGATAGATATATATATATATGCATAAATAAATAGATAATTTGGGGTTTTTTTTTCAAAACAAATAAATTTTTTATTTTACAATAAACACATAAACTCGTCAATTCACACATTCATCATTCCATTAATATATACATCCGCCCATTCATTGATCCGTTTGTTCATTTGTATTCTTTGAAAATTTATCTTCATCCTCGTTCCCCTTCTTAATAATACTGCTTCTATTATTTTCACGATTCTTTGAAATTTTTTTCTGTGGATTATAAGTGACAATTTTTTTGGCATCGAAGGTATCTATTAATTGTTTTTCAAGTTCTGGTAAAATTAACACTGCGTCAAAAATCCTTGTTGTTTACTATAATTGTTTGTAATGAACACTGTCGAGCTGGTAAGATGTATTAAAATTGTCTTTTAAAGAATTAATTAATAATTAATAATAAAATCAATCCATCAACTAATAATAATAATAATAACAATAAATCTTACTGAAGATAATGTAATTCCAATCAGAAATGATACTAAAGTTATTGTACGGAAAAAATTGGCATATTTTAAATTTGGAGAATTAGCAGGAGCCGTCCTCAATCCGATCTATTAAATATTATTTTTCCTTGTATTGATTATTATTGATTTTCGTATACATATTATTACCTCCATCATTATATAGAAACTTGCAGTGGCAAGGGCAGATAAAATGTAGTAAGGATCAGGTAAAGATAAATCTTGAAACTATAAAACACCACCAGTTTTAAAGGTCTGGTACATCAGCTCTAGAAATATTTCTTAAGGCCAAAAAAAAAAAAACCAAAGTAGCGTTGGTGCTTGAACAAGTGTGGTCAGTAAGCTTCTAAGTGTACTAATGTTATGTTTTTTATACAAATCAAGAATTTCCATCTTTAATTCCAAGGCTCTTGCTAGATTATTTGATTCTGTGGCTTTTTTAATTCGTTCATTCAGCGCATTGAATTCCGGTTGAATCATCTGAAATTTCGCAACGTTGTGAACTGGGTAAGAATGCCGTACGTAATAAAAATGTTGCTACTACTATTGTTTAAAACCATGATAAACCTGATGTAACATGTAAATGTTTCTAGCAATCCTTCAATAAATCCTACTGGTGTAGAATTTACCAAACTTAATGATTTCAAATCGCCTGTTTTCATGGCCGTTTCAGCTAACATTGATACACTATCTCCTGCAACAGCAGTTGATAATAATGATAATCGATAATATCAGTTGATTGTTCATATAAATGAGAATTGGATATCGAATTGTTAGGGTTTAGATTAATGTTATTTGCAACGTCTTGATTAGTATTAGATTTAATTGATTGTTTTTTTGTATAGAATTCATTCTTTATAATTCTATAACTATTGTTATATTGTTAATTGTGGCAGCAGTAGTAATAAGCGTTGATATTATTATTATTTGCATACTATTATATTCGATAACAATTATTTTTCTAAAAAATTTATTAAAGAAACATGTTAGGATAAATAAAAATTTAATTAAATCAAAAAAAAATTTTTAAAAACCTTGTTAAAAAAAAGGGGTTGTTGTTGTTTGATCATATTATAATCTTTTACACGTACTTTCTTCCAACCTGACGACAAGTACGAAACATTTTTTTTTTTTTATTGAAAAAAAGAGATCTTTTTTTTTTTTTATAAATTATCTTATCGATCTCTTTATATGTGCTCGTTAATGAAAAAGACTTTTTATGAAAATCACATTATTTATTATTATTATAAAAAAAACGCGTTAAAATATATTCACGTAAAAAAAACAAATTTTATTCGCGAAAATTCTTTTTCAACAAAAACATTTGGTTTATTTTTTTTATAACACTTTTTTAAATATGAAGCGAGAATCTCTTCAATAGAAAAAAGGAACCCCCAGGTCAATAATTTTGAGCTATAAGATTACTAACCGCCTTTTGGAGAACGGGGTGTTTGGAGGAGACGTAAAATTTGACGTAACCTACCGCGTGTACTTTACTCGATAGGTACAACAATCAAAGCTCGTTGTTAGAGTGAACAATTTCTTGATCATCATTTTTTTATAATCAACTCTCGCGAGGAAGAATCACACATAGATAGGGTACACTCTTGACTGTTTTTTTAAAGTTATGTATAACAAGTTTCTTAAAAAATTGCAGAGAGACGTCGTCTATTATAGATTTTCTTAACGCGCGCTCTTTCTGAAAAAATCATTATTCTTTGTGTGTGTTGTATGGGTGTAAATTAAGGATTTGTCCATTTTTTTATTTGACACATATTTTTTCCAATATTCCTCTCACGACGCACATACACGCATCACCGTCTTTTTAAACTCTGTCTATCTATGAATGGTTTCAAACTGCAACCATTAAACATTTTCATCATCATATTTAAAACTCCAAAAATAAATTCTTTAATGTATTTTTTTTTTTTCCAAAGAATTCTTTCGCAGAATATTCCAAACATATTCAATCCAATCCACACAGCATTCTTTTATCTTTTCCTTGGAAATTTCAATTCCTCTCTTTTGCAAAATAATGAGCAAATAAAGTATCCACAACGTTATAATAAGCAGGTAGGCAATCAGTTAGACGCGATCATAAAGAATTTTCATTCTGACAATATTTCTTCCAGATTTCAACAATTATTCCATAATATTAAAAAACCTAATCGAAAAAAAAATCCCGGATAAATCTATCATCATATTTATTTCGCTCATTTTTGCATGTTTACTTGCCAAGCACTAACTAAAACAGCGAATAGCCAATTGTTCATTCGACCACTCAGCTAATTAACTCGACTTGCACGTTTGAAAATCTCATCATTTCCAAGGCTTTAAAAAGTTGACTAAAAAATAATAAACATTCTGAATTTATTCATCTCAACATATACACACACGCACACATATATATTTCTTTGGTTGAAAATGCTATTATAACAAATGTTTGTTGTTTGGTAATGAAAAATAATATTTTCATTTTTCGTTATATTTCCTAAAAATGAAAAAAAAACTTGATAATAATAATAATTTATCATTATTATTTATTATTATTATTATTATTATTATTATTATTATTATTATTATTATTATTATTATTATTATTATTATTACTACTACTATTTAATAATAATATTTCGTTAGTTGTCGATAGATAGATGAGAGCGAGAGATTTGTGCGGAGTAATTAATTAATTAAGAAATGAACAAAAAAGAACGTACGGATGGAGGAATGGATGTATGAATAAAATGATGAATGTATTTAGGGAATTCATGGAATTCAGTGAGTTTAAATAATTTTTTTTTTTCAAATTGTATATTGAGAAAATGTGAAAAGAATGTGATAATGATCAAAAAAAGAAGTTGTAATTACAAACAACTCATGATTTTGAAAATCAATCTTTTTTGTGTGGAACAACAAACATTTTTTTATTAAATTCATGTGTCAAATAGAATTTTATACTATATATATATATATATATATATATATATATATTTACTATATATTATTATAATAATATATAATAAAGATAATGGTGGTTGTAGTGGAAGAAATGGTTGATAATTTAGTGTATAATTTTTTGGCAAGAAAGATTTTTCTAACGGGAATTTTAAAATTGATTTCAATCGGTAGGAAGAAACAGTTTATTGATCGATTGACGACTCATAAAAAGATTTGTGGACGATATGATTCAAATTAAATTTTGGAGAATTAGAGAGCGTTTGATAATAAAACAAAATAATTAAATGAATAGTTTTACTCTACTAATCGACTAATCGACTAATCGATCGTAACACATGATTAATTCAACGACGCAGTAAATATATACGACGATATAATTATATACTATTAATTAAATATGGAATTAATTAAAGATTAATTGAATGATCACGTGTAAATTAAGAAGTTTAAACCGAATTTGATACGAGATTGATTTCAAAATTGAAGGGAAAAAAAATGCGTAGTTTTTATTCTCTTTTCCTCACGTTAAAAAGTCCATGTAAAAAAATATTCGATTTTTAATTTTAAAAAATTCAAAAAATTAATTAATCTAAATTAATGTTCATTCATCAATTTTATTTTTATTATAATAATAATAATAAATAGTAAACAAATAATATCAAATAGCAGTGGTAAATAAAATATAAATAAAATAAATCATTTATATTGATCGAAAAATTAAATAATATTTCATGTACGACAAATATAATGATAATATGACTTATTTGTTTATTTATTTATTTGTTTGTTTGTGTGCGCAAATAAATATACGTAGAATTTTTCTTATCTTTTGAATGTAGATTGTAAATCTTTTCTTTATAAAATAAGATTCTTGACCATTGACAAGAAATTTAGATATGTAATATATTATATTAGCCATTTCTAAAATGGATTAGTCAAATTATTATTATAATAAAAAAAACTTTTAAGTTGAAAAATATCAAAACAAAACATCATCAAAGTCTTTGTTCTTCTTTCTTTATTAATAATTAATTACTTTATATATATATATATAATTCTAACATATAAAGTAAACAATATATATAGGTTACAATAGAAAATATCAGAGTGAGCGAGCGAACGAGTGAGAAAAATAACAGGTAAAATAACAACAACTGTCAGATAAGTAAAAAAAAAAAAAATTAAAATTACTGGATTTTTCTAAATAAGGTGTTTGAAGTGTCAAAAACTATCTTTATCAAAATAGTAAATAAAATTGAACCAGATTTTTGTCGGGGTTTCGCGAAAAATAAATAGTTCATTGACGTAACTATTATTTATTATTATTGATGACGACGTGTGTATATGTTTATTGTTTTTTTGGAAAAACCGATTAAAGATTTGTTTTATCAATTTTCTCTATTGCCTACTACTCATTCTGTCAATCAAATATCAATTAGTAACTAGTATCAGTCGACTCATTCAAAATGTAACGTATGTTGTACGTGTATTCTTCTTATACTACTATAATACACTTTTACTTAGTTCAATAGAAAACTTTTCTTTGACAATAATATTTAAATAGATAAATTAAAATAAATAAAGAAATTTTGATCAAATAAAAATTTTTTATAATTAACCATACAAATACTACGTAAATAATATACACATTAAGCAATCAATGGATGGATCACTCACATCACACATTAATTAATTTGTAATTTTAATTTCTTTACTTTAAAGCTCTTTTTCCCATCATCATTCATATACATATTTGTTCATACGTACATGCAACAAGTCTCGTGATGTAACTTGCGATCAAAATTTGTCTTATTGCTTGCATACTATACACTATTAAAGGCACATATATATGCACTATTTTAATGATATCATTAAAAAAACTACATGATATATATATATAAATTCATCGACAATTTTGTGGAGAAAAAGAATTCCCTTTTTTTATTTATTTACTACATACAAACCTATCTTCTTTCTAATATAATAAAATTTAAATTTTGTGACGTGTGACTATATGATTCGTCAATATGTGTACATAAATTAAAAATAATTCTAAATTGTAACGATTTACATTTATTTGTGCATATATATTATACACACATACACACACACACACACACACACACACCACACTTTATTTTTAAGAAAAAAAATTTACACACCAATTAAATAATATTAACTTTTTGTGGGGAAGGAGAAATGTACGTATTGTATGTAATGTTTAAAGTTATCTCATCTAGTTGGATGATTAAGGTTATTAAGGTTATTTATTTTTAATTATAATAACAATTAATGATTGGATTAGGGAAAGGGGAGGGAGGGGAGGGAGAGAGGAGGGGCGTAATATTATTCTCTAGCAATAGATATTTAATTAATTAATAATTATAATAATAATAATAATGTAATGATATATTGTCTGTTATTTATATTAATCTAGTTAGTCACCGAATAACAATGATGAATTAATGATATTAATAAGATGAAGAAGATCTTTGTTTAATCTCCCGCTTTTGTCAATTGCTTTCTTTTTTTCTTTACCCTAACCACAACAAAATATAAATAATAAAAAACTTGTGTATTTTGTGAATTTGTTTTTTATTCCACGAACCCAACTCGTGACATAACTAACTAACAATCATTACAATGATTCGTTATTATTATTAGTAGAAAGAGAGGGAGGAAGGGAGGGAGGAAGAGAAAGCACACACCTGAAAAAATAGCAGTAATTAATGGTGGCGGGCTGGCTAAATATTTTGATTGGTCAATAAATA